AAACGTCTATCTGCCAGCATTGTCATTTCAGTGACTGAAACGTCTATCTTGCAGCATTGTCATCTCAGTGACTGAAACGCCTATCTTGCAGCATTGTCATCTCAGTGACTGAAACGCCTATCTTGCAACATGGTGAAGTTTTTTTTATTACACTATGTGGCATCTAGCATTTTAATCTACCTCAGTCTCTGAACTTTCCGAAAAGGCTGGTGAAACAAGAAATATTTTTGAGTATAAAGTCGGATTCTATAAAACTTCACGTTAAAAACATCTGCAGTGAAGAAGAACTGATCATTACATATACAATAGACCGAAAAGACTTTGTTGCTTTGTGAGCTTAGATGGTTTGCATCTCACCAAGGATACTTCGTTTTCTGGCGGTATCTGTAAAGATCACCGTGGTATTGAATATAAGAAGCATTTCAGACAGCCAAGTCTAGCTAATAAGCTAAAATTATAAACGAATGGTTTTTTTGCTCAAAGACTTAAGGTTGAGGAAAACTAATGTCAGTGCTTACAAATATCTTACTCGAGACCTGTAATGAACAAACTCGGAGAAATATGCTACAGAATATCTGCGATCTAATATGACATCAAACTATACACGTAACATAATTATTATATAAAAAAATCTCTAGATGATTTTGTAGTTGGTTTCAATATGTTATTAATTATGGTTCGTATTATCAAGTGTAGTTACTAATGTAGCTTTGCTTGTTTTAACCAATTACAATAACGCAAACTGTCTTCTTATTTTTTTAACCAATGAACAGCAACTTTTCAATGCTGTACCTCTCAGAACAGTCGAAACCCATCTTATTGTAAACGAGAAACCATTAAAAACTGTTGCTTATTTCATTCCATCTGAAAACAGTATTAAAGGATTTCGTTTAACCACTCACATCTAATGTATTGATTAGTTAAATATAATAAATTATCTCTGAGGCGGTCGGGTGTGGCCTAATGGTTAGTATGTCGGTCTAAACCCTAGGGTCCATGCTTTGTATATCGATGTTGCAAAATCGCGCTCTGCACTTCTGGGTTGTGGGTGTACTGTAAGAGTAACGGTCAGATACCATTACTTATTCAATTAGAGTAACCCAAGAATGGCGG